TCTGTGGTTCAGCCAGACGAACAGGCCCCCGGGTTATTACCTGTTCTGAAGCTCCCAGCCCTGCCAAGCCAGCCCAGCCCGCCGAGCACCCCAAACAGTACACCTTTTCTTTCCTCCAGGATCTTGCATCCTGGACCGGCCCAGCCAAACCCCGCCCCCCGCCTGACACTAGGAAAGTGGGCTGCACCGAGTCGGGAGCCAAGGCAGAGGCCCTGGATCTGGGAGCAGAGGGCTCAGAGGCTGAGCGTCCAGGAACATGACCCGGGACAAACATCGGCAGCCTCGCCCTTCCTGCCTCAGTTTCCCCTAGCAATAGCAAATCCTCCTGGGGAGGAGCCTCAGGGCGGGACAGAGATGGCGGTGACTGCAGCACAGGTTGTTTGAGCGCCTGTTCTCCGGCCATCGGTTTTACAAGAAGAGAACAAGGCAGGGTTCGAAAACAAAGGCGGAAGAGCCCCCTGGGTTGCAAGATTTGCAGAGGATTCCCCTCCTCCACCCTGTGGCGCTCACCCACACTTGCGTCTGATTGGAAGCCGCCGAAGACGTAGCGGTTTTGATGGGCAGAGCGTGGAGCCAATGGGATTCTCGTCTGGACGCTGGCTCCGCAGTCACTGGTCAGAGCTGGCTGCCCAGAGAAAATCAGGCCAATGGGGCCGGAGCCTTTGTGGGTCCCGTGGGGACTGGGTTCTGCCTGCCGGAATGAAAGCCTGAAGATGAATTGTAGGGAAGGGCCGAAGTTGCGGGAATGTGGATGTGGATAGCGGCGTGGTTTGGCTTGTCACGAGACTCCTAAACCCATGTCATTGTTCCACCAGGCAGGGAGGAAATGCCCCGTTAGCCCAAGTGACAGAGCTTGGACTCCGCCGGCGGGAAGTCGCGCAATCGCGCGGTGTCAAAATCCGTAATCAGTGCATTCCGCTACTGACGAAGAACAGCAGTTACACAAACACACAGGGACTGTTAACTGCAGAGGGAGAGAGAGAAAAACATCAATTTGTGGTTCCATTTGTGTATGCATTCACGGGTTGATTCTTATGTGTGTGTGCCCTGACTGGGGACTGAACCCACAACTTTGGCATATGGGGATGACCTCTAAACTGAGCTACCCGGCCAGGGCAGGAATTCATTTTAAATGAAATAATGAGGCTATTGCCCTAGCTGGTTTGGCTCACTGAGTAGAGCCTCGGCCTGGGGACTGAAAGGTCCCAGGTTCGATTCCTATCAAGGGCATTGTACCTTGGTTGTGGAGGGTGTACAGGAGGCAGCTGATTGATTCTTCTCTCTCATTGATGTTCCTAACTCTCTATCTCTCCCTTCTTTTCTATAAAAAATAAAATAAAATATGTTTTACAAAAAAGAAATAATGAGGCTATAGTAATATGGGTATTTTCATTTGCCTGCCTCCCTTTACTTCAGATAAAATCAGGAACGTTTGGGGTGTGGATTTGGAATTCAAACTGGTATTTGAAAGATGAAACAAAGGGGCCAGAGACCCGGATGCCAGGACACAGGCTTTGTTGGAGAATACCTCTCCGGCCCCTCTGTTTCATCTTTCAGTGTTATCATGAACATGTGAGTGGGCGGAGGGAAAAGACAGGAACAGGACCTGATATTTACTGGGTAACTCGGTAACTTTCTCAAAATTGCTCTGTAAGTAGCTTAACCAAACTTTACAAGCCTGAGCCCATATTCCTTGCACTCTACTGAACTACCTTGCTGGAATTTTCTCAAATCAATCCCCCCACCCCGGCTTTTCCTGCTCATCCTACATCTTGTTCAAGTAGTGAAAAGACAAAGCAGGTTCCTGGACAGATGCAGAGCTCTAAGGAAAACAGAAATGTCCCTGCTTAGATTTTTCCCAGAGCAAGAAAGCTTTCAAAGGGTTTCCTTCCCACAGCATGTGCAGAGATGATTAAGTGGAAAATACAGTCGGTTTCCATTAATATTAGAACTGGAAGGAACTCTGGCATCATCTGCTAGTCTACCTTCTGTCTTCCACCAGATTTATCAAGCTCCCAAGAGGGACATTACTTGCCTAAGATCACACACCAAATTAAGGTAGAGCTGGAACTAGTACCTAGGTGTCCTGACTCCCAGTCCATGATTCTTTCTTTATTTTTAATTAAGGTATTATATGTGTATATATCTTTCCATTATGATTCTTTTTTTATTTTTTATTGATTTTTTACAGAGAGGAAGGGAGAGAGATAGAGAGCTAGAAATGTCGACGAGAGAGAAATATCGACCAGCCGCCTCCTGCACACCCCCCACCGGGGATGCGCCCGCAACCAACATACATGCCAGCTTCAGCATGATTCTTTCTTAATAGTACTAATTATCAATAACCTTAAAAGCATAATTTGCCATAGACAAACCATAGTGTGCATAATGGTCCCTGAAACAATTTGGAGTAGCTTCTAATAGTCATTATAATTAAGAGCTTAGAACAGTAATGATAAATGGGACACTAGTATCCCATTTCATTTACATCCTGATCTTAGAGCCTATATGATTCCTTCCTCCTAGTCTACATCCCTCAAGAAGTCCTCACAATCCTATCTGGTTTGGCTCAGTGGATAGAGCATGGGCCTGTGGGCTGAAGGGTCCCTGATTCAATTGCAGTCAAGGGCACATGCCTGGATTGCAGGCTTCATCCCCAGTAGGGAGTGTGCAGGAGGCAGCTGATCAATAATTTTTTCATCATTGTTGTTTCTATCTCTTTCTCTCTTCCTTCCTCTCTGAAATCAATTTTAAAATATGTATATAGCCAAAACCGGTTTGGCTCAGTGGATAGACTGTCGGCCTGTGGACTGAAGGGTCCCGGGTTCGATTCCAGTCAAGGGCATGTACCTTGGTTGCGGGCACATCCCCGGTAGGGGGTGTGCAAGAGGCAGCTGATCCATGTTTCTCTTATTGATGTTTCTAACTCTCTATCCCTCTCCCTTCCTCTCTGTAAAAAAAAAATATATATATAAAAATATATATATATATCTACTCACATTCCCCCTTTTCTTAAGGAAGTTGCTGGCTTCATTTCCAAAGCCTTATTTATCAGAGGCATCATTTGGTCCCTTCTGTTGGCCATTGAAAGGTGAACATGACGGTGTGCACAGGCAGGCTAAATAACCATCTCAGACGGTGGGTAAAGAAAAATAGAATTTATTTAAGGACAGGGGATGAGGGATAGAATACCCAAAGGGAAGGGCTGCACAGCACTGAGCTGAGGGCACATTGGGGGGCTGATGGTGGGGGCTGAGTCGGTGGGCAGTGGCTTGGAATGCAGATGGAATGCAGGTGTGTGATCATGTGCTCTGAGGACAGTTTCCATTCCTTACCTGGTCTGATTCCTGGTGTCCAGCAAGCTTTTCCTGGCCTTTGTCTCCTGTGGTGGGAAGGCTACAAATGGCGGTTACATTACCCTGTAGTCCTAGCACAGAGGCCTTTCCACCTCTGCAAAGAAGAACAGGCTGAGCCCCATTCTTTATTTTGCTTTGTCCTCTACTCTCCCATGAGGCTAGAAGAGGATTCTGGTAACACAAGGATGTGGGCCAAGAGGATACAGCAAGACCCCAACTGCAAGGGAACATTTATTGGGTAAATTACAGAGGTAGAAAAAGTAATTCCTAGAAGAAAGAGATTTAGCAAACAAGTTCTAGAGATAAAGTTAGGGCCCTTGGAGCTTGGGAGTGAGGAACCTTATGGTAACTTATTGGGGATGGGGGAAGGGGGAGAAGGAGAGAAAGGGGAAGCCAGTGGCATGTTCCCCAGAGGGAGAGTGCACTGTCCTCCAGCCTGGGGTTTTAAGGACGGAGATTTTAGGAAGGTCCCAGGGAAAGATCTTAATAAAATATTCAGTTGTGTCCTTTCAGGGTTGTGGTCTCCACTCATTGATTGGCCAACGCCAGGCCTGAAGTCAGCTGTGGCTGGTTTTGTTGCTTATCTGGACCTGGAGCTGAAAAGCAACTGAGGCCTAGATGTTATCTCTAGAGAGGAAAGGTCAAGAGATCCAAACCGCATCACCAGTGACAGGCTAGGGGAGGGGAAGTCACTCTGGGGGCGAGGTCCACCCTACAATTAATTATCCATTGCTAGGCACCTGCACTTTCCATCCTGGGGACCTTTTGTTGTAATCCTCACCCCAGGATATTTTTGCATTGACTTTTAGAGAGAGTGAGAGGGGGAGGGAGGGAGAGAGAAAAAGAAACATCGAAGTGAGAGACTTGGATTGGTTGCCTGATTGGTTGCCTCCGGCCTGGTCAGGGCTGGGATTGAGCCTGTAACTGAAGTATGTGTGCTGGAATCGAACCCAGGACCCTTCAGTCTCTATCCACTGAGCAAACAGGTTCGGGCCCTGCTGACCCTCTGTACCTGGCCCATCGTCCTTGCTCTACTCATGTCTGTCTAATAATTGCCTGCAACACTAAGAAGGTTAGGGGTGCACAGAAGGGGTCCAAGACCAGGCAGTCATAACTCAAGAGGAGTAAGAAGACCAAGGACTGACTGCAGGGTGTGTTTGGGACAAGCAAGGTCCGCGAGGTTTCTAGCATTCTTTCTCTTCTTAATGTATCTTTTCGGAAAGAAAGGGAGAGGGAAAAGATATAAACATGAATGATGAGAGAGAATCATTGATTGGCTCCTTCTCCTCCACATCCCCTAATGGGGATCAAGCCCGCTACCCTAGGCCCTCCACCGGAATCGAACCCGGGCCCTTCACTCTGCAGGCCGACGCTCTACCCACTGAGCCAAACTAGCTTAGGGCTCTAGCATTCTCTTTTAAAACGTCCAGAAGATCAAAGCCTCTGTTGAGCAGCCGGCCTCTGCCCACCAGAACTCCGCCGCAGCGGCCGGGGCCCTCGGAGCCCCGGCCTTCGCTCCAGCTCCTTCCCAGGCTCCAGCACATTTCCCCTGCTCTCCGCCTCCGCCGAGCTCCCGCTTCCCGCCTCTGATTGGCCCTCCGTCACATCGCTCCGGCATGGTCCCGCCCCCAGGGAGCATTCATTGGCCACGGGGGGCTGGGACGCGGCGGTGCGGGGGCGGGAGGGCGAGAAGAGTGCGGGGGCCGGGGAGGAGGCGGGAATTCCCGCCCGGAGGCCGGAACCCCGGGCTGCCATGGAGTGAGCCCCTCGCGCGGTGAGTGCGGGGTTCCTGGGAGTGGGATTCCGGCCGGGCGCCCCGGCCTCCCCGGGGCCTGGCAGCTCACATTCTTTTTTCCGCTTCCCGGAACGCTGGCGGCCTCGGACCCCGCCTCCCTGAGCCTGGACTCCAGACGCCGCCCTCAGTGGTGGTGTCAGCCCGTCCCGGGACCCCAGACCCCGAAGGCCTGTGATTGGAAGCGGCCTTTCTCCGTATCCGGGGTGGGGATGGCGCTGGGGGAGCGGGAGAGCGATCGAGCACCCCCCCCCCCCCGGACTCTCCCTGTTTAGGGGGTCCACGGAGCTCCATCTCTGCACAGCCCCGAACCCCGCTTCGCCTGCCTCCCCCACTCTTTTCACGGAGGGGCCTGGCCTCCACCTTCCTTCCCGGACCGCAGCTCCCCAAGTCCCTGGGAGCTCCGGGTGGAAGCGCAGTGAGCTGGCTGCACGGTCCGCATGCCTCTGTTTCCCCCTCGCTGGACCCCGTGTCAGTCGCTTGGAAGGGACCGAGGCCGGGGGGGAAGGAGGACTGTCTCCAGGGCCGGAGCGGATGAGTCACGCTGGGAAGGTCAGAGAGCGGCCGGCGCGGGGGACTGCCCTCCGCCGCCCGTCCCTCCTCACAGGACCATTCCCCCCGCGCTCTTCCCAGGCCTGAGAGTCCCCGGAGCAGCCGCGGCCGCCATGGGGCCCTGGGGAGAACCGGAGCTCCTGGTGTGGCGCCCAGAGGCGGTCGCCTCGGACCCCCCGCTGCCCGTGGGGCTGGAGGTGAAGCTGGGGGCCCTGGTGCTCCTGCTGGTGCTCACGCTCGTCTGCAGTCTGGTGCCCATCTGTGTGCTGCGCCGGCCCGGAGCGAGCCCCGAAGCCTCGGGTAAGGCGCTCCTTTCCTGGCTGCCAGGGATGCTTGGGGTAGGGAAGGCTCTGGGGCTGAGGAAGGGGGGCTTAAGGAAGAGAAGGCGAGAGTGACCGCGTTGCTTGGGTTGGGCTTGGAGGGGGCTTCCCTTGGTCATTCCCCTCTGCCTTCGCTCCTGCCCAGCCTTCCGCCAGAAAGCCCTGAGCCTGGTGAGCTGCTTTGCCGGGGGTGTGTTTCTGGCCACCTGTCTTCTGGATCTGCTGCCTGATTACCTGTCTGCCATAGACGAGGCCCTGGCAGCCCTGCACGTGACGGTGAGCACCAGCGGGCTGCGTGTGATGCCGTGTGATGCCGTGTGTGTGTGTGTGTGTGTGTGTGTGTGTGTGTGTGAGTTGCACACCCCCCGGAGAGGTGGTTTGTGTGGATCTGTTCCTATGTTACGCTCTGACTGCGTGGAAGACTCTTGGATGTGAACCTGTGAATTGTGGTTTTTAGTTACAAGGGCCTATCTTATTTTGGGGTCCCCCTCCTCCCCCCAGGCCCTGTGTGACCCTTTGAAGCAGTGTGTGAGGAACCTTATTACCAGGTACATGACCTACTCTGTGGGTTTCTCAGTTCAGCCTCTGGGAAGTTAGCAGCGTTCCAAGAACCATCTTCCCGCCCTCACCACTTTCCTGAGGGGTTGGAGAGAGAGGTCTGTGCGGGCTCTGGAGGCAATCCCAGGGGCTTGGTGCTGCTTACCAAAAAGGCCCAAAGAAGTAGGTTATGGGGAAGATCAATTCCAAAGCATAGGGAAGTCTCCTGGGAAAAACTGAGACATTTCGGGGGTTGGGGAGAGTGTGAGGACGGCACCCTGGGGCTCTTCCTCTATTTCCCTAAGACAGAGGAAGTAACACCGGATAGAATCTGTGTCTGACTGAGTGACCTGTTTCTCCCTGCGACTTAAGTCTGAATGTTCTGCAACCGTGTGTGGCTCTGTGTGAGCATTTGGCAAGGTGGGAGAATGTGTGACTGTTTGTTTGCTTACATTCGACTTTTTTTTTTAAATTGATTTTTTACAAAGAGGAAGGGAGAGGGATAGAGAGTTAGAAACATCCATGAGAGAGAAACATCCATCAGCCGCCTCCTGCACACCCCTACTGGGGATGTGCCCACAACCAAGGTACATGCCCTTGACTGGAATCGAACCCAGGACCCTTCAGTCCACAGGCTGATGCTCTATCCACTGAGCCAAACCGGGCTTGACACTTTGTGTACATCTACATCAGTGATTCCGAATTGGGAGTATTTTGCCCTTCCCCCAAAAAAACATTTGATAATGTGGAGACGCTTTTGGTTGTCCCAGCTTACGGAGGGAGGACGTTGTGCTGCTGCTGACATCTAATGGTTCGAGACTAGGGGGCCTGTCCACAGAACAGCTCTCCACAACAAAGATTTATCTAGTCCCAGATGTTAATAGTGCCAGAGTTGGGAAATCTTAGTTTCCATGTACCACTGTGACACCAGGATCTGTGTGATTGTGTGTGTGTCATTCTGTGTCTGTGTGACCAACAGTGGCCCATGTGTCTGTGTGGGACCCCATGTCTGTGTACCTGGGACTTCACTGGACTCTGCTCCTGACTTGTGTTCCCCATACTTGGTCTGTCTCTTGCACTCCCACAGCTTCAGTTTCCCCTACAAGAGTTTATCCTGGCCATGGGCTTCTTCCTGGTCCTGGTGATGGAGCAGATCACGCTGGCGTACAGGGAGCAGTCGGTGCCACCGCCTCGAGAGGAGACGAGGGCGCTGCTGGGAACAATGAATGGGGGGCCGCAGCACTGGCACGACGGGCAAGGCCTCCCACAGGCGAGCGGAGCTCTCGCAGCTCCCTCAGCCCTGCGTGCCTGTGTGCTGGTCTTCTCCCTGGCTCTGCACTCGGTGTTCGAGGGGCTGGCGGTGGGACTGCAGCGAGACCGGGCTCGGGCCATGGAGCTGTGCCTGGCTCTGCTGCTCCACAAGGGTATTCTGGCCGTCAGCTTGTCCCTGAGACTGCTGCAGAGCCACCTGCGAGCAAAGGTGGTGGCTGGCTGTGGCATTCTCTTCTCATGCATGACACCTCTGGGCATCGGGCTGGGTGCGGCTCTGGCAGAGTCAGCTGGCCCACTGCACCAGCTGGCCCAGTCTGTGCTGGAGGGCATGGCAGCTGGCACCTTTCTCTATATCACTTTCTTGGAAATCCTGCCCCAGGAGCTGGCCACTTCCGACCAGAGGATCCTCAAGGTCATTCTGCTCCTATCAGGCTTTGCCCTACTGACTGGCCTACTCTTCATCCAAGTCTAGGAGGCTCTCAGAGGGGCAGGGGGAGATTGGGAACCAGGTGCCCTTGAACCCACTTTCCCTCTTCAGGAATGGGGAAGGGATGTATTGAGGCCCAAAGAGTTCTGAGAGGTGAGGATGGAGCTTTTGGGACAATCTGACCAATGGGAAAGAAGTGAGTAGACAAAAGTCTGATCCCCAGGCTCAAGGGACAAGGCATGATCAAGTCACTAGAGACATGATCAAGACACATTAGTATTAGGGAAGACACTGAGCACTAGGATTGAGCAGACACTACACAGAGACAGCTGACACTGGGGAGGCTTTGGGATGGAAGTAGAGAGGACGCAGACCCAGCACACAGTTCTCTTGTTTCTAGCCCATTTCAGCCCTCTGTCATGTGGAGTGGATCCCTCCTAATTTTCTCAGTCCTACTCTCACATCTTTCTCCTTTCCTTCACCCAAGACACTAGTGCCAAGTGGCCTCTTTCTGCCAGTATTGGTACCTTCTTTGGCTTCTCCAGTTCTGCTCACTCTATTTTTAAAGTGCCAAATAAAATGCCCTCCCTCTTTCTCAAAGCACAGTGATGCACTGAGCCCTTGCTCAGCACCTCAGTGAAGGGGTCCTTTTGCTCCTTATTTTACTCCCAGATTCTGGGGTGGGGCAGGAATGTTTGTTGAGTTGGAGTGGAGGGAAGGGTTGGCAGATCCAAGAGCCCTACCATTGCTGCACTCTAGGAATACTGAACATGGATATATGGTGCCCCATATGCCACAGGTGATAAACATTGAGCTGCCAAAACTTTTTATATCATAGAAGCCCAAGGGGGGATGGGGAATGTTCACCCCCAGGGTTAGTGGGGATGGGGGTGGGGGACTGGGCACAGGGCCATATTCTCTAGAATCTATTTTACTTACTGATCTGTTTTGGTATATGTTCCCCAAATAAAAGATGTTTCTCTACATCTGTATGGAATCTGATTCTTTTGTATTGGGAAGAAGTGGTGGGCATGTGGCTAGCCTGAGGGCCGGAGTCCCAGATGATTACAGTTGTTTTATTGTAGTAGTCTCCTCCCTGGTCTCACCGTTTTCATTCAGGCCCTCTTACCCTTCCCTGAAGATGGCAATTTCCCTCTTGTCCCTTCCTTCTTCCCTCCCTGTCTCCATCCCTTCCTTCCCTTTCCTCTCCTTTTCCTTTCTTCTCTCCTTACTCCCTCTCCCCTTCGCTTTCCTAGGCTCCGGACTAATGTAAAACTACTCTTCCCAGCTTGCTCCGCGCAGGGAGGAGCCGAGTGGGAGGAGCAAAGCCCTCAGTATTCCGAGTCAACGGGGCTGCTGGGAGTTGGTGTCCATTTCCTTTCCGCGCTGCGTGGTCGGGGCTACGAGGGGGTCACGTAAACAAACTACAATTCCCGGAAGGCCTCGCGCGCCACAGGTCAGGGCTAGGCTGGGGCCGGGTTCGCGGTGCTAGCTGAGACGGCGGCTGCGGCGGCGGCGGCGGCGGCTACTGGTGGAAGACCCGATCGGGAGCCCGCGGCGGAGGCCGGGGCCGGTGCTGGGAGGGTGGCGGGGAGGGTCGGAGGGGGAAGATGGCGACGTCGGGGGCGAACGGGCCCGGCTCGGCCACGGCCTCGGCTTCCAATCCACGCAAGTTCAGTGAGAAGATCGCGCTGCAGAAGCAGCGTCAGGCCGAAGAGACGGCGGCCTTCGAGGAGGTGATGATGGACATCGGCTCCACCCGGGTGAGGGGCCGCGCCGGGGAGCCGAGCGGAGCACTTACGGAGCGGGAGCCGAGAGGCGGGGCGGGGGCGGGAGCCGCTGCCAAAGAGGCGGAACGGGGCTGCCGCCGACGCCGCCGTCTGGGATGCGCGGGTGGCGGGCCGGGGGGCAGGAAGAAGACGGATTTTGCGGGGGGTGGGGAGGCCGAAACACCAGTGAGGTCGGAAGTTTGGGACGGACTGGGAGGCTCAGTGAGTAAGGAGAGCGAGGAGGGAGGAGACCGTTCGCTGGAACCCGGCGGAGGTGGGTGCTCATTGTGCATCTCTGATTGAGTCCTCCCCGGGATTCCTTCCACTGAAGCATCCCCGGGGTCGGGCTGTGGGTTGGGAGGATGGTCTGCTTGCCTTTCTGTGTCTTCTCTGTGGGTAATCTCCAATCTGGTCCTTCTGCCCTCTTGGCCGCTCGGCACTCCAGTTCCTCTGGGAAAGGGCCCCCTGAGTGGTTCGAGCAGCAGCGCTGGGTAGAGTGGAGCAGGAAGTCCCCTCCTGCGTCCCGTCCCTCTGCTTCCTTTTTCAAATACTTCTTGTGGTTTCCTGACGTGAATGAAGGTGAGGTCCATTGCTCACAGACTGGTGCTGGGTGTTCTGCCCCGGTGGCCGCCTTGGAGGAGAGACCGGGCTTGGAATCCTGAAACCGGGAGCCAGGGGCTATAGGTTGTGTGGCATCGGATGGTCCGCTGGGCTTTCTGGGGCCATGGCTGTTCTGCGGGCCAGTTATGGGTTGGCTTGGAGGGTCCTCTATGTGTAGGGAATATTAATTCCTACGAAGATCCAGGAAGAAAAAAAAAAAAAAGGAAAAAAAAAAAGGCATCCTGGCAGAAGTTGCCTCTGGAACCTTTTCTTTGGCCTTGATGTCTTGCTACCAGCACTGGATGTGTGAGGGAGTGCGGGGTGGGAGTTTGCCCAGCTGGTATGCAGTCCTAATTTAGGGAGGCATTGTTCTCAGAACAGCAGGCTGGGAGAATATTGTACGATCCCTCATGGTGGGGAGCTAGGAGGAATATAAGGGGAGATGGTGGAACATAAAGACCACATTTCAAAGCTCTTCCTCCTGATCTGACTGATTGCATCTGTTTGTGACTGGCTCCGGTTTTATTTGTGTGTGTCTCTCCCTTGACTCTCTTAGTCTTTTTCATGTTTGTTTCCCCTCTGAGTCTCTAGAGACCATGTGCCCTAGTTTGTGGGAGACAGAACAGAGAGCGTTAGGTGGGGAAGCAAGTCTGGGGTGTGTGTGTGTGTGCACACGCGCCTAACCTCTTGCTAACTGCCATGAGGATCCTGATCTAACTGTTGACTGCTCCCCTTTAGTAGCTTCTGGTCATGGTGGGGCAGAGGTAAGAAGGTGGGCGAGAGGCTGATCTCTAGCTGGCAGCTTGAGGCCCAGCCTTCTGGACTGTGACTCCAGCAGAGCATGGTAGGATCTTAGGGCTTGTAGGTGCAAACAAAGAAAGGCTGTGAGAAACTCAAAGCCGGGCCAGCTATCTTTAAAGTATCTTGGTCTGTCATAAGGCCCCTCCTCTAACCACCTTGCCGCTGCGGAGTCACTTCTCTGCTGCACATAAGATTCCAGTGGACGTACTTGGCCAGAGCCTGGGAACCCAGGAGCTTAAGCCTGTTATTTGGTTAGCTGGGAGGGCTTGTCTGAGCCAGATATGGCCATGAGGCCTATACTGCTTGGAGGCTGGGGCTGTCATATATATATATGTATATATGTTTATAGGCAGGCCTGAAGTGGTCCAAAGTTCAGCATAGTGCCCACTAAACTCACCGGGCTGACCTCCTGGGACAGAAAGTTCTGAGGTTAGCTTGTGCACAACAGTATGTCCCAGAAGCTCTTAGAATTTGCCCCTCGTCAGCTGCCCTGTTTATTTATTTGGCTGTTGACAGTGGTTGAGTCTCAGAAATAGGTGCTCACCTCTCACAGAGGGACACGAGATCTGTAGCCAGACTAAAACCATGCTAGGCCGAGGGATGTGCCGTCTTGCTCCAGTGCCAGACTTACCTCCCCAAAGTGGGGGTGCGCCTAGGGAGGTGGCTCTGGCCCAGACTGGAGTGGACTACTGTTCCCTCTCCGTTCCCTCTCTGCAGGCTCTCCTGCCCATCCATGCCTTACCACTAAGTAGAAGGGTTTTGGCCTTGTATTGACAGCTATGCAGGCCATTATTCCTTAGATGTTCTAGTTCAGGAGGCGCAGGCTCTGTGTGGCCTTCTTGAGGCTGGGCAAATGGCAGAGCCCAGAAGTCACAGGAAGAGGCTGGTCTCTGTGGCATCCACCTGTGGCCTCTCCAATCATGCTGGGACACATCTGGAAGGGAAAGCAAAAGTGCCTAATAGGCACCTCTTCCCATGTGACCAGCTGGGGGCTCCTGGCAACCCCTCAGGGACGCTGTTTAGACTGACGACAATTGAGCAGTGTCAGGCTCCGTGCTTGGCTGGCAGGGTGTTTGATGCCAGGCATCAGTGCTGTCATTGATGGGGGTAGCCTGTGGAGAGCTGGGCAGCTTGTTTATATTGGTCTCAGTGGAGCTTTTCCCCAGCACTGTTTTCTTCTTTGTCTTCGTCGTCGTCTTCCCCTCCTCCTCCTCCTTTTCCTCCTCCTCCTCCTCCTCCTCCTCCCAAATCTCTTAAAAGCAGCACTGATAGTAGCCTACCCTGAAGACAGGGATGGCAAGGGTGGCCAAAGAGCAGGGACAGTACTCAGCCCCTCCCTGACGTTCCCATCTGCCTTTCCTGTTTCAGTTACAGGCCCAAAAGCTGCGGCTGGCATACACCCGGAACTCCCATTACGGAGGTTCTCTGCCAAACGTGAACCAGATCGGCTGCGGCTTGGCCGAGTTCCAGGTGAGTGGACACCAGCCCCCGGCGAGTGCAGGCCCCTCGGCAGCTCCCCCATGGACTCACCTCTGTGTTTTGGCAGAGCCCCCTCCACTCACCTTTGGATTCATCCCGGAACACTCGGCACCATGGGCTGGTGGAGCGGGTGCAGCGAGATCCCCGAAGGATGGTGTCCCCACTCCGCCGCTACCCGCGCCATATATCCTTCACCGAGGGCTCGGGGGTGGGAGGGGGGTGGGAGGGGTCCCTTAGGAACTGGTGGGAAGGGACTTGAGGTGTTGTCTCCTATTTTCTCCAGGAGCTCTCCTTTCCCCAGCCTCCCAGAAAAGTGGCCATTTGGCCCACATGAGAGCGCTGGCTCCTGTGCAAAGAATGGCCGCTCAGAGGTTGTGCCTCCATCTCTGCTGGCTCTGACTGCCTTTATCAGCTAGCTCTTTGCTCAATCCTGCGAAAGGCAGTTTGGTTTACCCGGTCAGTGTGGCTCCCTGGTTGAGTGTTGACCTATGAACCAGGAGGTCATGGTTGGATGGATTCCTGGTCAGGGCACATGCCTAGGTTTCAATCCCCAGTAGGGGGCATGCAGGAGGCAGCCGATGGATGATTCTCATCATTGATGTCTCTCTCTCCTCCCCCCTTCCTTTCTTCCTCTCTTTCTCTCTCTGAAATCAACAAAAACATATTTTAAAAAAATTAATAAAGGGACTTTGGTTCTCACCGCACATTTCTGTCCGTAGCTTTCAGTCTCAGAGATCTGTCTCCCCAAACCCTCCCTAGATATTCTCCTATATTTTCCCAACTCTGCTGGGCTTCACCCTCTTCTCTCCCATTCTCTGACCTGATTGTTGCCCCTTATTGAGAAGGAGAAAGGTGTTTGTTTCTTGAAACTCACATCTCCTGTGCCCATTCTTCCCTCTTCTGGTGTCTAGCCCCCTCAGCCTCTCCTCACTTTTTACCTTAACTGGTGCTGTTCACATTGACAGCTCCCCCTACAGTCCTGCCTACTTGTCTCCTCCCCCGGAGTCCAGCTGGCGGAGGTCAGTGTCCAGGGCAGGCGGATCTCCTGCCCGCGCTCTGACATGTCTCTGGAGGGAGCTTGTGTTGGGGTTGGGCTTGCCGGGCCCGGCTTTCCACAGCACCTCCTCTCCGAAGGGCAGGGCCGGGAGGGGTGGGGGCAGGTGGAGTAGGTGGGTCAGAGTCCAGCCTTGGCCGTATTGACACGGGTGGCCAAGCCTCCCAGTCCAAGCAGGGCAGGACCAATGGTAACGGGCTCGCTGGGGTGTGTAGGTAAGGGGGAAGGGAGAACGGCTGCCTCTTGTCAAAAGTGGGTGCCAGGTGTAGTGTCCTGGCACTCAGATGCGTGAACCCTACCCCTGTCCATCTCGTCGCTCATACTTGTACCTAGAAGAGTTGCTGGCTCCAGATCAGCTTGTCCTGGCAGTAGAAGTTGAGATTTCCCAGATCTCCTACACCAGTGATGTTCAGCTTTTTTCATTTTCTGTCACACACAAAATAATTACTAAAATTCTGTGGCACACCAAAAAAATGCATTAATGTTTTGCTACTCTGACACAAAAAAAAATTGGTATAATTTTGATTAGTTTTTAAAAATAGTAATTTTTTTACCTACCCTTTCTGCTCCTAAATGACTTTTTAATAAATCAGGTGTTGCCCAGGCCAGGTAGCTCAGATGGTTAGAGCGCTGTCCTGATACGCCAAGGTTGCAGGTTCAATCCTGGGTTGGGACACACGCAGGAGTCAGCCAGTGAATGCATAAATAAATGGAACAACAAACTGATCTCTCTTTCCCTCTCCCCCACTTCCTCTCACTCTAAAAATCAACCAATACGGTAAATAAAAAAGAAAAGAAATTTAAAAATCAGGTGCCTGTACTCATATATAAGGATTTTTGATACCAAGAATTAACCAATCAGATGCAACCTTTTTATGAGATGTGACCAATAAGATGCATCTCTTTTATATGAACTATATACTTGTGGTTCCCGACAGGGTATTCACATGGTACAGCTATTGTCTTTTTTTAAATTTGACAATCTGAGTGGGGGAAAGGGCCAGTGTCCCTGACTAAATAGCCAGGTGTTGGATGTTCTTAAAATTCTTATGGCACAACTGTGTGCCATGGCACACCGGTTGAAAAGTGCTGTTCTAGATCGCCTGGGGAGAGGGCTCCTGGGTCACAGATACCAGAAGAACCAGCAGGAAGAGAGGCACAGTCCTGGTGCCTAGCCCTCTGTACTTCCATCTCTGCTGCCCCGCCTTTCCCAGCCCCACGGCCTCGTCCACTACTGACCTTCCGCCTGACTTTGTCTTTCGTCCCAGGACAATGCCCTGGGGTAATTTCCCTGCAGAGAAGGGGCAGTTGTATCGACTACCATCTGCACTTAACAGGTGATGGTCCTTGCCTTCTTTGGTCCACATCTCCTCTTACCTATAGAGTCTGGGCCGTACCCTGTCCAGCCCAGCTAGTGTTTTTCCTGGCTGAGGAGGGCATGGGGGCCAGGAAGACTGTCACTGGTGCCAGCTGATCTATGTTTGCCCCGCAGGACAAGCTCCGACTCTGCCCTTCACACGAGCGTAATGAACCCCAACCCTCAGGACACGTATCCAGGCCCCGTACCTCCCAGTGTCCTGCCCAGTCGCCGTGGAGGTAGGTGGCATGTCCCTGGGTTAGGGAGTAGGCCTGGTGCTTTGGTTTGAAGCGGGCCCTGCAGCCAATCCCATGCATCCTTTGTAGGTTACCTGGATGGCGAAATGGACTCCAAAGGTACGTTTTCTCACCACTGTGGGTACCGAATGCCCAGGAGTTTCTGAGCTGGTGCTGGGGCTCCCTCCCGCCTGCCCGTGCTCCTATCCTCCCCATGGACTCCTTCTGTGCCCTCTCCTCACCAACCTTTCTCTTTAAGTCCCTGCCATTGAGGAGAACTTGCTGGACGACAGGCACTTGCTGAAGCCCTGGGATGCTAAGAAGGTGGGTGGCCTGTGATCCCTCTTCCGTGGCAGGTCTTTCATGGCCTCCACGGAGCACTGTCGTCACCTGTCACCTTCTTCCTTCTCCTCTCAGCTGTCCTCCTCCTCCTCCCGACCTCGGTCCTGTGAAGTCCCTGGAATTAAGTAAGTGTCTCTGTGATGCTCGCTGAGAGGATGGGGAAGGGAAGTAAAGGGGAATGTGGGAGGCTGATCTCTGCTCTTCCCTTTCCACCGCCCCCCACAATTATGTCTTTTTTTCCTCTCCTTCTCCAGCATCGTTCCATCTCCTGACCAGCCTGCCAATGTGCCTGTCCTCCCACCTGCCATGAACACGGGAGGCTCCCTACCTGACCTCACCAACCTGCACTTTCCCCCACCGCTGCCCACCCCCCTGGACCCCGAGGAGACATCCTACTCGAGCCTGAGTGGGGGCAACAGTACCTCCAATCTGACCCACACCATGACCCACCTGGGCATCAGTGGGGGCCTGGGCCTAGGCCCAGGCTATGATACGCCAGGTGAGTGGCTGTCCTGCGTCCACGGGGCGCTGCCTGGCTGGAGGGGCTAAGGGATGGGAAGCTTGAGCACCAGTGACTGCCCGCATCAACCCACCACCTGTCCAGCCCGGTTTTCCTCACTGTACTTTTTTGCCAGGGAGAACTGGTAGGTGTGGCTTTTCTTCGAAAGAAGATGGAGAGCAACCCCCCGGTGGGCAGGGACACTGCCAGGGACAGCGTAGAGAGGACATTGTGTTGCCACTTCCATAGTCTGATCACTGCTACCCGTTCTGGGCAGAAAGGGGCCCAGTTCCCATCAGTAATGTTGGCATCTCTGGTTTTTTGTCTGTGCCTGCAGGACTTCATTCACCTCTCAACCATCCATCCTTGCAGTCTTCCCTAAGCAATCCCAACCTCCAGGCTTCCCTGAGCAGCCCTCAGCCCCAGCTCCAGGGCTCCCACAGTCACCCCTCACTGCCTGCCTCCTCCTTGGCCCGCCATGCACTGCCCACCACCTCCCTGGGTCACCCCTCACTCAGTGCCCCAGCCCTCTCCTCCTCCTGTTCCTCCTCCTCTGCTTCATCTCCTTTGCTGGGTGCCCCCCCTTACCCAGCTTCTACCCCTGGGGCCTCCCCCCGCCACCGCCGTGTACCCCTCAGCCCCCTGAGTTTGCCCGCGGGCCCAGCCGACGCCAGAAGGTCCCAACAGCAGATGCCCAAACAGTTTTCGCCAACAATGTCACCCACCTTGTCTTCCATCACTCAGGTATGCGTGGCTGCCTTTCCTACATGTCTGTCTCCCTTCCTTGTTTTTTCCTGCTAAGTTCTTTCCCTCGCACCCGCCTTTCCTGAAAAACCTCTTCTTACTTCCCATCCTCTTCAATTCCTCTATTCTCTATCTGCCCCATCTTTAAAAAAAAAAAAATATTTTTTTTTATTGATTTCAGGGAAGAAGGGAGAGGGAGAGAGAGAGAAACATCAATGATGAGAGAGCATCATTGATCAGCTGTCTCCTTCTCCCCCCATCCTCCACTGGGTACTGAGCCTGCAACCTGTGCATGTGCCCCTACCAGGAATTGAACCTCGACCTCCTGGTTCACCACTGAGCCATGCTGGCTGGGCTACTGCCCCATCTTTTATCTGTCTTGTCTCCTCTTGGCTAAAGAGTGGAAACCTTGGGGTTAAGCTTTCTGATTCAAATCCTACTCTAACGTAGTCTCCTTGGACAGTTGTTTAATTTCTACAAGTGTCAACATTCTCATCTATAGGACAGGATGAGATTGTAAGAGTCAAAGGAAATCATGTATGTGGAGTGCTCAGCACCATGCCAAACCCAGCTGCAGGCTTGACAGATGAGCCTTTCTCCCTTTTCTGTTCCTGTCCTTCTTTTCGTGTCTGTTGTTTTTTTCTCTCTCTCATGCCTCCATCCTGTTTCATCCCTTCTCCCATCTCCCTTCTTTTCTAGATCCCATAAACAAAGATGCTCAGACCATGGAGCCTAATCCTTTCATTATATAGCTGTGGAGATTGGGGCCAGAGGGAAAATGACTTTCCCAAATTTACACAGCACGTTAGGAAGAGTTGGGACTAGAACTAAAAACCCTTAGTTCAAGCCAAAACCAGTTTGGCTCAGTGGATAGAGGGTCATCCTGCAGACTGAAAGGTCCCAGGTTCCATTCTGGTCAAGGGCATGTGCCTTGGTTGCGGGTACATCCCCAGTAGGGGGTGTGCAGGAGGCAGCTGACCGATGTTTCTCTCTCATTGATGTTTCTAGCTCTCTATCCCTCTTCCTTTCTCTCTGTAAAAAAAAAAATAAATAAAAATAGATTAAATATATTTAAAAAATAAATAAATAAAAACCCTTAGTTCAGGGCTTTCCTCAGTGCTAAGATTCTCAGCCCTCCCTCCTCCTTTTTTTTTTTTTTTTAACTTTCTCTGTACCCCTTCTCCTTCTACCCCAATGCTCTTCTTTCCCTTGCCTCTGCTCTACTTTCTCCTCCTCCTGCATTCCCCTTCCCTGGAATGTGTGTGCTGTGTTCCATCTGCTGTAGTCCCCTTTCTGTAGGAAAGCCTGAGATCCGGGCCAGCCAGGGCTGTGTTTTCTTAAACCCTGGAGCGAACCTGCCTTCTTCCTCCCTTCCGTCCTTCCTCTCATTCCCTCTGGCCTTGCCGAGACTTTAGAATGGCAGTTCTCAAGTTTCCTGTTGTGCTGTCAAGCAACTTGTTAGGACTGTCACAAGTGTTTGATTACTAATAATCATTAAAGCACCAAGGTTTAATAGTTTACTTCTGGACTGGTTTTAAAATTATTCTTATATTAGCCTCACTCCATTGCTTTATTCTGATAAGCAGTTTTGTGTAATTGCACCTAATCCCGGGGATCTCCATGGGAACGTTGTCAGGTTTGTGTTGAGGATGGTTGCAGTTTCTAAGGGTGGGAAGCCCTAAGAGTTCCTCCTGGGGACACACTGAAAGGTACGCCTCCCCCTTTTTCCTCGCTTCTCTTTAGGGCGTCCCCCTGGATACCAGTAAACTGCCCACTGACCAGCGGCTGCCTTCATACCCATACAGCCACTCAAATCTGGTTCTGCCCGCCAAGCCATCCACCCCAAAGCCTCTACAGCAGCCAGGGCTGCCCTCTCAGGCCTGCTCAGTGCAGCCCTCAGGTGGGCAGCCCCCAGGCAGGCAGCTACACTATGGGACACTGTACCCTCCCGGCTCCAGTGGGCATGGGCAGCAGTCTTACCACCGGCCAGGGAGTGACTTCAGCCTGGGGAATGTGAGTACCCAAGTTCTCGGCTCCGAAGCAGGGGAGGGAGTGGGCGTGGGCCAGAGGGGCCTGGGTGGTGTCATTGGTGCTGTGTGAGTTGGGAGATCTTCCTCCAGGGAGTGTGGCACTGCCAACTTGGGGCTCCTCTCCTACAGCTGACCCTTTCCTGTCCCTCCCCCCTAGCTATCTCTGCACAGCTTGCTCTTTGATGACTACTGCTTTGACCCCTTCTCTTCCTGGCACGCGCAGGCTCTGTCCCAGCAGGTACGGTGCCCACAGCTCCTTGGGGCCCGTGCTCGCCTCTGTCGCTCTGCTTGCTGCCATCTCCTGTCTCTGCTTTTGTTCGGGGTGGGGGTGGGGGGCTGGTGGGGAAAGGGGATGCATCAGCAGGGCTAAGCGGTGGCAGGCAGGTACCCCTGTCCTGAGATCCACTTCCTCAAGGTTTCTCTCTATGTCCATAGCTGGAGCAGTTCAGCATGGGGAGTTCATCATCCAGCCTGGCGCTGGATCCCACCGGCTTTTCTGAGGGGTCTGGATTTTTAGGGGGTGAGGGATCAGTGAGTGGCTTCCAGGACCCCCATGCCCTCAACCACCAGAACTTGACCCATTGTTCCCGTCATGGCTCAGGGCCTAACATCATCCTCACAGGTGAGCAGTGTGGGTGGCCATGGGGGATGGCCCAGCAGGAGATTAGGGGATCCTCACCCATTTCTTCTGCCCACACAGGAGACTCCTCCCCAGGCTTCTCTAAGGAGATCGCAGCGGCCCTCTCCGGGGTGCCTGGCTTCGAGGTGTCCGCCGCTGGGTTGGAGTTGGGGCTGGGGCTAGAGGAGGAGCTGCGCATGGAGCCACTGGGCCTGGAAGGGCTCAACATGCTGAGCGACCCCTGTGCCCTGCTGCCTGATCCTGCTGTGGAGGATTCATTCCGCAGTGACAGGCTACAGTGAGGGGACGCGTTACCATCCCTCTGACTGGCCTGTTCCCATCACTGTCCCTGTCCTCCCTCCCCCCTGGCCAGTAGAGACTCAGCTCTCTGCCCCCAGATCCTCTTTCTAACATGAATGAGGGATCCCACGAATGAGGAAAAGCAAGGGGTTTATCCAGGTGGCCCCTGAATTCTGCACAGGGGTAGGCCTGGGGGAGCTCAAGGGAGGGTCTAAAGCACTTGTAACTTTGAACCGTCTGTCTGGAGGTCAGAGCCTGTTGGAAAGCAGGGGGTAGAAGGAGCCCCAGAGGCAAGGCTAGTTCTGGATGCCCAGGGGTGGGCAGTGCCAGCCCCTCCTCACCACTCTTCCCCTTGCATTGGAGGAGAGAGCCAGAGTGGATATTATTTTTTATTAAATATATTATATGTTAATAAAAAAACCATATCAAACCCTTGGTGTGTTTGTCTACTGTTTGGGATGTGGGTGGGAAACTAGGGAATCCCTGGGGCACCGACCTTTTCTTTTCTTTTTTTAATATATTTATTGATACAGAGAGGAAGGGAGAGAGATAGAGAGTTAGAAACATCGATGAGAGAGTCATCGATCAGCTGCCTCTTGCACACCCCCTACTGGGGATATGCCTGCAACCAAGGTACATGCCCTTGACCGGAATCGAACCCGGGACCTTTCAGTCCCCAAGCCAACGCTCTATCCACTGAGCCAGTGTTTTTCAACCTTTTTTGGGCAAAGGCACACTTGTTTCATGAAAAAAATCACGAGGCACACCACCATTAGAAAATGTTAAAAAATTTAACTCTGTGCCTATATTGACTATATATAAAGTAATTCTCTTGAATAGGAATCAAACACAAAGAAAGTATTTTATAATTACTTTATTATGAAATATTAAGTAAACAAAATAGTGAAAAATTATAAAATTCTTGTCTGCACCTACGGCACACCAGGCAACATCTCAGTGTGCCGCGGAACAGCGGTTGAAAAACGCTGCACTGAGCCAAACCGGTTTCGGCGGCACCGACCTTTTCATCTATCGTGCTTTTTTGTTGTTAATCCTCACCCGAGAATATTTTTCCCATTGGTTTTTCGAGTAGAAGGGAGGGAAGGAAGAGAAAGAGAGAAACATGGATACAAGAGCAATACATTGATTGGTTGCCTCTTGTATACGCCTTGACTGGGGCCGGGGATTGAACCGGTAACTATGTGCCCTTAACCAGAAATTGAATCCAAGACCTTCTAACCACTACTTACCAGCCAGGGCTGGGCCATCTGTTATGCTTTTTACATCTGAGCAGCATTGTGGTTTGTGGGAGGCCTCCGCCCTTGAGACCCACCTCCAGTGTCAGAATTTTTTAAAAATATTTTTTAATTGATTTCAGAGAGGAAGGGAGAGAGAGAAACATGAATGATGAGAGAATCATTGATTGGCTGCCTTCTGCACACCCCCTATTGGGGTTCGAGCCTGCAACCAGGACATGTACTCTGGGAATTTACCGTTTCCCCGAAAATAAGACAGTGTCTTATATTAATTTTTTCTCCCAGTTGCGCTAGGTCTTATTTTCGGGGAAACACGGTAGGACCATGACCTTCTAGTTCATAGGTCAGTGCTCAACCACTGAGCCACACCAGCTGGGCCAGCGTCAGGATTTGAACCCTGCATTGGACATGGGAGTCCAGGCTGGATTTCGGTTTCCATGGCAGCACAGGTGCCTCCCCTCTGTCCGGGGCCCTGCTGCAGCTTCAGGAGACGAGTTCTGACTCTTCCTCAACCCTGTGGCCTGGCAGTAGAAGTGAGGAGGCAACTGCAGGCTGAACCCGGAGGTCTGATGTTTCTGATCGAAGGACCCCAGCTTCAGGAGTAGCTGGCCTCAGTGCTAAGGCTGCCTAGGAGAGAGGATTCAAATCCTGACACCATGTGGGTCTTGGGTTGGCTCCCCCTTCTTTATGGCCCTTTAAGCCTAGAAGAAATTAGACTGCTCCCATGCTTCTAGATCTCGGGGAAGCTCTGAGGTCTCATTTCTGCCCCCTCACTAGGCATGAATTCACCCTCTCCACACTTCACTCATTCTACAGATGCTTGAGTGCTGTGTTCTAAGAGATTTCCTCTCTCTGGCTTGGGCTGCTGCTAGCCCTCTGACCATCATAGTCTCTCCCCTCTTCTCTTCCATTCCCAGCGAAGTCAGAGGGTCATGTCCCTCCTCAGTTACCCTCACCTCTACTACTCTCCTCACACCCTGCATTCCTGGTCTTCCCTCTTCCTCTTTCCAAAGCTTTGTCATTTTCAGAAAAGAGAACTGAGAGCTCTGGCTTAGGCGAGAAGGGACTACAACGTGCCCTAAACCTGGAAGTAGGGGCAGCCACCTGGGTGTCGCTGCCCAGGCCTTCAGGGCCCTCCTTGCATATCTGACTAGGATCGCCTTGGACTTGAGGGGCCGCCGGGTTAGTGTCCTGCAGCATCATCGTTTGAGCTGGTGAGAAGCTGCTTGGGTGCAAGGGGCCCTCCCAGCCGCCAGGGGTCGCCCTGCAGGCCGCTGGGCGCTGGATGGGCGCTGGGCGGGCGCTGGGCAGGCGCCGCCAGGGTCACGGCCACAGGCCCGGGAGGGCGTGTAGGGGGGGGGGGGGAAGGAGGGGAGCAGCTGCGCCCACCGTCCCCGTGGGGGTGTGGGGAAGCGGCGAAAGCGGGACACTCGCAGGAGCACCCCGCCTCCAGCCAGCGGGAGCCCGGAGGAGCGCACGCCCGAGTGAGCTGCAGGGCAGCACGGTGCCCTGCGTGGCGCAGCGCTTTGGGGACGTAGGCAGCGCCGGGATCTCCCTCCACCGCGCCCCGCGGGCTGCCGCTCCTTCCTCCCCTCGCCTCCCTCCCGGGAGGGAGTGGCGCCCAAGTCGGGTGCGCCATGCCCGGGGCCGGGTAGCCCGCCGCCCGCCAGCCCGCCCGCCCGCCGGCCCGCCAGCCCACTCTCCCCGCCGCCGCCGCGGGCCGGCCGGCCAGGGAGTCGCAGGGCCGGCAGGTAGGGGCCGGACGGGGCGCGTGGCGGGCGGGCGGGCGGGGAAGGAAGGGAGGGGGTGCCGGGCGGGAGGAGGTCCCCCAGCTGTTCCCTGGCGTGGCACATCTGGTTCCGGTTCCTCTCTCCTGGGGAAGTGAAAGTGGAGGGGAGTTCGCTGGTGGCGCCCCGCGCCCTGCACCCCCGTTGCTCCTGCGGGTCCTCAGCCAGAGCACCCCTCCCTCCGGCTCAGGTCACGCGGCGCTGCTGCTGCTGCTGCTGCTGCTGTCACGTCCCCTGCGGCTGGCGCACCTGCCCCTGCCCCTGTCCCCGGTGCTCCTGCCCCTTCCTCGGCTCCACCTGCCCGCCGACCCAGCCCAGCTCCCCATCGCCTGGTGTGCGGGCGCTGGGTCCCCGAGTGGGGCCCGTGCCCCTGGCCTTCTTCCCCAGGCGGCAGGCGCTGCCTTGTGCAGGGTGCTCCCTGGCCGGGTGAGGGAGGCTCCAGGAGCAGATCCTGCGGGTCGGGGCCACCCACCCGGCCCACCTAAAAGCTCCTGCCCGCCCGCCCGGGGCACAGGGCGCCTTTTCGCCTGCAGTGGCTGAGGGATGCGGTTGTGCCCCAGAGCTAAATTAGGCCGCTGACACTGACTCCTGGCTTCACCTTCCAGACGTGGAGGCTAAATTTAGCTGGAGGTGTGTGTGTGTGTCCAGCAGCCATATTGAGGAGAAGGCCAACCTGGCCTCATGAGATTCCCTTGCTCCTCAGAGTTCTCTGAGGTTGAGTAGGACTGGGCATCCTGGAGCCATGCTGAGCCTCCCCTTCTTCGCTGGGGTCCATCAGTGCGAGGTGACGCTGGGCATGATGCTGTGTTGGCGCCTTCCATGGTACCCCCGCCTCCCCCAACACACACCCATGGGCGGACTTCCGCTGAGCTGGGCTGAGCTGGGCTGAGCTACAGCTTCCCCTCCACGGTTCCAGGAAGTCATTTCCCTTCCCCTCCGAAGCACCCCCATTCCTCCTGCCCTCTGCCGCAAGCCACCCACCCAGCTCTTCCCTGGCTTCTGCGCCTTGGGGCTCCCCAGGGCCCTCGGGCTCCCACTCCCGGGGGTTGGCCATGGAGGCAGGTGAGACCCAGTTCCGGAGACTGTGGTGGGCCTGGTTTGGGGCTTCCTGGAGCAGGGCCTGGGGGCGGCCGGGGCTGTTTCCCACAGCCGCCTCTGTCCTCCCTGGCCATAACCCGAGGATCCTGGAGGGGGGCGGGCACCGTTTGTTTGGTTTTGTGTTTTGTTTTTTGTCAGCTTAGTGGAATTAGGTGAGGAGAAAGGACACGTGGGCCTGGTGGAAGGACTCTAACGCTTGGGTTTTGTGGGTTTTCTGGACACTTGGGCACCCCCAAGGTCTAGATGTGGGTTCTTTAAGAACATGAACTGGCTCATGTGGTTCTTAGGATGTCATAACTAGAGTCAAGAAGCTAAAACCCCTTAAAAAAAAAAAAACCCAAAAAAACAAAAAACCCTGTAAGGTTGGCATGATGTCAGAGCCAAAATGAATGATGGCATTGCAGGCCACTACAGAAAAAACTGACCTATTATAACTCGGTATGGGTATGGGCTGAGGAGGGGAGGGGTCTTTAAAAATATATATATTTTACTGATTTTTTGCAGAGAGGAAGGGAGAGGAATAGAGAGTTAGAAACATCAATGAGAGAGGATCATCGATCAGCCGCCTCCTGCACATCCCCCTACTGGGGATGTGCCCGCAACCAATGTACATGCCCTTGACCGGAATCGAACCTGGAACCTTTCAGTCCCTCAGGCCGATTCTCTATCCACTGAGCCAGACGGGTTTCAGCGGGGAGGGGTCTTTAAAAGGGATAGAGGAACAACATGATGTCAGAGCCCACGTTGGCTGTGTGTGGTAGAGTGGAGTTCGGGTCCTTTGGGGAGAGGGCTAGAACCCTAACAGAGGGTCCTGGTCTCTTTAAGAAGCTGTGGAAGGGCTCCGAAGGCCTGGTGATGTCATAGGCGGGAGAGTCCAGGATTGGCTGACCACTGATCCTGCCTTTCCTTGAAGGGGCTAGGAAGAGGAGGGAAGCAAGGTGGGTGGGTGGGGGAGGCACCCCGGTTGCCACGGCAACACCAGCCTTCCTTGACCATTGCAGATGCAGTGAGTGAGGGGGGGGCCATGGCGGAGGAGCGGCCCCCCAGGCTGGTGGATTACTTTGTGATAGCCGGGCTTCCGGGGAGCGGAGCACCCATTCCTGAGGACACGTGGGTGCCTGAGGCCAGCGGGCCCCTGCGCGCGCCCCGGCCGGCGGAGCCCATCACGGACGTGGCAGTCATCGCCAGGGCGCTGGGCGAGGAGGTGCCCCAGGGCTACACGTGCATCCAGGCCTCGGTGGGGGGCCACCCCTTGGAGCTCAGCGCTGGGCTCCTGAGTGGAACTCAGCCTGTCATCTGCTACCGCAGGGGCCGCGACAAGCCGCCCCTTGTGGAGCTAGGGTGGGTGCCCGCCCCCGCTGGCACCAGGGGGCACTGGGAGGGACTGTGAGGGGCGAGGCAGGGAGAGGCAGGGATGAGGGGTAGGGAATGGGAACGGGGAGACAGTGGGCTGGCCAGGGGCCGGAGAGAAGGGACTGAGCTTTTTATTCGCTTAGCCCTCACACCGGTTTGGTCCTTGTACTAACGTTGCCCCGTGCCAGCTGTGTGATCTCGGGCAGGGTGTGAGCCCCTCTGGCCTGCTCCCTCATGGATAATAAAGTGGGGAAATTGTACCTCCGCAGGGGGTGGCGGAGAAGATTGAATGAGATCAACCACGGAAGGGACTTAGCACAGAGTCCAAAAATGGCAACTTTTTTTCTTAGCATTTATTTATTTAGTTATTTATTAATATATTTTATTGGCTTCTTACAGAGTAGAAGGGAGAGAGATAGAGAGCTAGAAACATCGATGATGAGAGAAACATCGACTCGCTGCCTCCTGCACACCCCCTACTGGGGATGTGCCCGCAACCAAGGTACATGCCCTTGACAGGAATCGAACATGGGACCCCTCAGTCCGCAGACCGACGCTCTATCCACTGAGCTAAACCGGTCTTGGCTTCTTAGCATTTGTTAATGAGTAGGAAAGCCATGGAAAGCCTGAGGGGTTGTTGCTGATGGGGAAGAAGAAACAAGGGCAGAAGAGAGGCCTGGGTTCTCGGGGGCAGGCGTCAGCAGTGAGTGAGCCCGGGGGCGGGTTTAGGGGGCAGATAGGCAGGACGAGGCAGACCTGGCAGGAGGAGGGTCTCTCTCCTCTGTCCCGAGCTCGACACCTCTCTCCGTTCTCTGTGCCAAGGGTGTTGTATGAGGGCAAGGAGCGTCCCAAGCCCGGCTTCCAAGTCCTAGACACGACACCCTACAGCCACTCTGCCAACCTGGCCCCTCCAGGCCCCGGGCACCCCCGCACCTACCTCACTTACCGGCGGGCAGCGGAGGGGGCAGGGCTGCATGCCTTGGGCATCACCGACCTCTGCCTGGTGCTGCCCAGCAAGGGTGAGGGCACTCCGCACACTTACTGCCGACTGCCCCGCAACCTCAGCCCTGGCATGGTGAGTGGGGCTCGGGCCCGGGGCTGAAACCGGCACTGCTTTGGCACGAGGGTGCGGGCACTGGGCACACAGGGCATGCATGCCCGGCCTAAGGCCTCTGATGGCGGGCGCGGGCCCAGCGTGGACTCTGGTCTTGGGGGACCGGGCTGAGTGGGGATTCTAAAGACGGGAGACTGCGGAGGCGCGGTGGAGAAACCTTTGTTGGTGTGTATCTGCTTGTCTCTCGCTCTCTCTCGGGCAGTGGGGCCCGGCGGTGTACCTGTGCTACAAGGTGGGCCTGGCCAAGGCCAACACGCTGGTGTATGAGGCAGGTGAGTGGCCCTTTGTCCCTCTGACCCCGTGGCCCTCCATGTCCCTCTGCCCTGCTGCCTCTTGGCTGTCACTGTCACTGTCCCTGGGACTCCCCTTCACCATGTGGCCCTTCCCCCCTGTGCCTCCCCCTGGAGCCTGATGGACCCTCCTCCCTTTGGGCGCCCCCCACTCCGTCCTGGGTGCAGAGCTGCTGGGCCGCTACCCGGAGGAGGACAACGAGGCGTTTCCGCTGCCCGAGTCCGTGCCCGTCTTCTGCCTGCCCATGGGGGCCACCATCGAGTGCTGGCCTGCCCAGACCAAGTACCCGGTGCCCGTCTTCTCCACCTTCGTGCTGACGGGCGCAGCGGGTAACAAGGTGGGTGTGTGGGGTGCGGGAGGGGGTCTGGGCTGTGCGGGGCCCACCTGACTGCGCTCCCCCGGCCCCCCCGCCAGGTGTACGGCGCGGCCCTGCAGTTCTACGAGGCGTTCCCGCGGGCCAGGCTGTCGGAGCGGCAGTCGCGGGCGCTGGGCCTGCTGAGCGCCGTGGAGCGGGGCCGGGCGCTGGGCGGCCGGGCGGTGCGCAGCCGGCGCGCCATCGCCGTGCTGTCCCGCTGGCCCGCCTTCCCCGCCTTCCGCGCCTTCCTCACCTTCCTCTACCGCTACTCCGTCTCCGGCCCCCACCGCCTGCCCCTCGAAGCGTGAGCATGGCCCCCCTGGCACTGGGAAGAGGTCTGAGGGGATCGGGCCAGGAGGGATGGGAGAGATTAGGATGGAGCACAATGGGGGTGGGGGGAGGTGGGCAGAGGAGTGGGGATCAGGGCTGTCATGTGTGGTTGTACACATTGCAAAGCGCCACCTGCTGCAGGGGAGCGGGGCTGGAACCCAGCCTACACTTGCTGGCCGAGGGGCTCGCATGCTCAGAGGGGGTCTCTTTTCTTGTCTGTATGCACTCTGTCTATAGGGTGTCCCCAAAATGTCTGCACACACTTTGGATCCTTATAAAGGCGGTGTTCATTCAAATACATTTCATTTCAAAACGAAGCTATCGGCTGTCAAAGTGTGCATACATTTTGGGGTACATCCTGTCCGTTGGCTGCTCTGATGGCTGACGCGGCTCCAGGCGAGGTCAGGGAGGAGGAAGGCTCTGGGGGCCGGATGGCTGAGGAGAGGGAAGGTGATGGCGGGAAGGAGGTAGACTGGGGACCCCGTCTCTGACCCGCGTACTCTCCCCCTCCCCCTCCCCCCAGGCACATCTCCCACTTCATTCACAGCGTCCCCTTCCCTTCCCCGCAGAGACCCCGCATCCTGGTGCAGGTGAGGGCCGAGGCCAGGCCGGGGCCGGGCGGGAGGAGGGCAGGGGCCAGCCTCCGTTATCCTGACCCACGGCTCTTCTGCCCCCCAGATGTCTCCCCATGACAACCTGCTCCTCTGCCAGCCTGTATCCTCCCCCCTGCCCCTCAGGTATGTGCCCAAGCTGGGCGAGAGGGTTGATGACCAAGGACACAGTAGGTGCCAGGCAGGTGGGCACAGCTGTTGAGGTCTGTGCAGGCTGGGCCCAGGCGGTGTCTGTGCCCAGTGATAGGAAAGGGTCTCCTGGTGACTTGCCCCCCCACCCACACACATTGGGGTGACCCACAGCGGTGCCAGCTTCCTGCAGCTGCTGCAGAACCTGGGCCCCGAGCTGGCCGTCACGTTGCTGCTGGCCGTGCTCACGGAGCACAAACTGCTGGTCCACTCGCTGCGGCCGGACCTGCTCACCAGCGTCTGCGAGGCCCTCGTCTCTGTGAGTGGCCCCCCTCCCCGGAATGTTCTTCCAGGGGACCCCATCCCTCCCGGACTCTTCCCTGGGGGGAGGGGTCCTCAGTCTTCTCCTCTGGCACAGTCTCCAGGGACATTCAGCTCCCACCAGGGGCTCTCCTTCAGCCCACCCCCCACAGTGTCCACAGGCACCACCCAGAAGCCAGGGACCCTCCCGCCCCCCAGCTGCCCCACCCCCCACCCCCCTGCTCACTGCTCCTCACGCCCTGGTGCTCCAGATGATCTTCCCGCTGCACTGGCAGTGCCCCTACATCCCCGTGTGCCCGCTGGCGCTGGCTGACGTGCTGAGCGCCCCCGTACCCTTCATCGTGGGCATCCACTCCAGCTACTTTGACCTGCACGACCCGCCTCCTGACGTCATCTGTGTGGATCTGGACACCAACACGCTCTTCCAGTAAGACGCTGGGCTCGCTCGGGGGCTGCGGGGAGGAGCTGCGGGCAGGTGTACGGAGGGCCACCTTGGTGCCAAAGGGGCCTCCCCGGGCAAAGTCGGGGAGCCTGGCAGGGAGCCCCACGGCCTTTTCTTCCTTCCGCTTCTCTCCTAGGACGGAGGAAAAGAAGCCCCTCACCCCTCGAGCTCTGCCCCGCAGGCCCTACAAGGTTCTGCTGGCCACACTGACCGCCCTGTATCAGCAGCTGGATCAGAGTGAGAAGCCTGGGTGGGAGGCTGGAGACTGTCCCTGGCCTTAAGCCCCAGGCCGGGCAGGCCTGTGGGCAGCCAGGCCTGACCTGAGGGGGTTCGAGGA